TGAAAGCAGAGCCTCTTAGTAACAGATCACCAGGGTCCCTTGAGCTAGGCAAGGCCCTCCCATGGCAGTCAAGAGAAATGAGCCTTGGGCCCGCTGCACACAGGGCTGCCCCCTCTCGAGGCAACTCTCTTGCCAAGTTGTGATTTGAGGAACAATCATTGTATAAGATTAGAGCTGTAAGGAGCAAGGAGTCACTGATATGGAAAACACCCATTGTAAGACAGTCTTTGAAGACAAACCAAAGCCACTTCTTCAGATGGTTTCCTCGTGTCCTCAGCCTAAAATCAAGTGTTTATATGTCCATGTATCCTCATGTTCCAAGAGTCCATGTAAGACACCAGTGTGGCTCACAACTGTCTGTATGTTTAATGTACACAAAAATATGGAGTAGATTGCAACACAGTGCTCTCATAGGGATCATGTCATTCTGAAATCTTACAACCCACCCCACAGAGATCATGGGAGCCACCTGGTCCCAGTGCACACTCCATGAGACTGCCTGGGCTTTCTGCTGGAAGACATTAAGTTACTAGTTTTGAACGGGAAGATGCAAAACTGAATGCAGGATTTGTACCTGAAATGGCACACTCCACAGAAGACAATTCTCCAGAAGGTCCGGCACCACCAGACCTGGCAACAGCTTCCTCTCAAGTGCCATCCTAGACCACTCAACAGCTACTCAGCTTCAAAAATACACCTGGGAATGTTCATTGTACCAGCTATATATCCTTCCTTGCCACTGGTTTAGTCTACATAGCTTAGAGCCCACACTTCTAGTAAAGTGGGGAAATACAAAGAACCACCCCCATCATGTATGCATACATGCAGATGAGACATGCTGAGATCATGAAACCCCTTCTCTAGAAAGGTGCGTTGGCTTTGCCATGGGTGCTTGCCTTGCCATACAAGTACCCAGCCATCACGTTGAGCAGGGCTTGCAGGTCCCTTCTGGATGACTCCTGTGAGTAGAGTGGCTTGATGATCTGGCACCAACACCCCTGATTGGAGGATGTTTATCTTCAAAGGCCACTGAGCCTACCAGAAACAAAGCATCTGCTTATCATAGAAAATTTCCCACTATCCCTGAATACACCAACCAGGTTATTCAGGTGAGATTTGGAGAAAGCTTTTGTTAAAGGTCGTGGAGCTGAAAGGCCTCATACATCTAAGCTGAAGGGATTTCGTGATTTATTCTTCAATCATAATCCCACTACTGGAAGTGCAGAGGAGACCTGGATTACCATAGATCACCTTGATGAAGCTAAGCTCATGAATCTTCAAGTTGAACTCAAGTTTTGTCCAACTACAAGTTCTTAGGACAGTCAGATTAGTATGTGAACTTATAAGCAATACAGAAGACTGTCTAAATCATGCCAGCATGTGACTGCAGAAATCTGGGTGTTAGGCTAGAGACCTGTGGCAGGGTGTGTGGGGGGTGTTCTACATTCAAATTACTATCCATAGGCCACCTGGACTGCCCTCCTTTCCTTTCACTTTACACAATTCTACCAGAGTACTCATATTCAGAAGGGCTTATGCATCAAGTTATGTAAGGAAAAGCAATCAACGGTGACTTCTTAGAAATCTCAGGGATCCAGGAAGATTTGTTCAGAAGTGATAAGGGAACCACATAGGAAGAAAGGGCTCACCTCACCCCAGCAGGCCGAGGGAACCTCCCCAGGTCTGCTCAGGCAGACCATAGAGCACAAAGTAACTTCAAGAGCCTTTAGCTGAGCACAGTCCATTTTCAAGGATGATGGAAAGAGCATGGCCCTCCCTTCCTGATGTCCCTCATATCAATAGTCACCTTCCTATTCAGAGAGAATCTCAGGATATAAAGCATTGCATTTAGATATGTCTTGATATAGAGGCATCCCAATGCCCACACACCTGTAAACATTCATAAAGTGATCTTAAACATTCGTAAAATGATCATAGTCCTCAACAGGATGATGAGGATAAGTTTGTCTTCATTCCAGAGGCACACCCTATAACACAGTCTCCTACCTTGAGCCCCTCACATAGCAGAAGACAACTCTGACATTGGCTAGGCAAGAAGTACAGGTTCACGCCACAGCCATCTCAAACAGCAAATGGTTTTCATATCCCAGAAGGACCCCACTTCCACAAGGAATACCTACACCCTAATGGAGCATTTCCAGGAAGCTCAGACTGTGGCTGGTGGACTCACAGCCAGAGTGCCACCAGAACTCTTTCTCGTTGTGCAGCATACAACTATGGCTGAATTCTAGAGATTATCTTTTTAAATAAAGATATCAGATTATCTTTTTAAAATAAAGATATCAGATTATCTTTTTAAATAAAGATATGAAAGAGCCCAACAGAAGCCTTAGTCCATTCAAGGTCACAAGTCCCTATTGGACATGAAGCAAACTTAAAACCAAAGTTGTCTTAATCACAAGTCCTGCAGACTATGAACAACACAGAAGAAAACAAGGTATTCAGTAGGGAGAATTAATAGACTCAAGGCTGCTGTGAAGAACACTCTTCCTGGAGTTATCATCATGGAAAATCCACATGTGAATTTACCTTTGAAGATGACTTTCAGAGCTTACATTAGACACAAGCTTTAGGTCAGAAACACATAGAAGAGACTTTATAAGAAATGCAGAGGGCTGGGAAGGTGGCTCAGTGGTACAGCTCTTGCCTTGCATGCCTGAGGCCCTCGGTTCAATTCCTCAGCACCACATAAGCAAAAAAAGCCAGAAGTGGCGCTGTGGCTCAAGTGGTAGAGCACTAGCCTTGAGCTGAAGAGCTGGGGTCCAGCGCCCAGGCCCAGAGTTCAGGCCCCACAACCGGACACCCCCCCCAAAAAAACTGCAGAGAAACTTCCACTTATTCTTCATGCTTTCAGAGACATGGAGAACCTCAGAATACAAAGCAAAGTCTACAGATATCTTAGTTCTGATCAAAGTCAGGAGAGCATTCCCACTATAAATTCAACAAACACTGAAAATAGTATGGAAGGACTTCCAGGAGAAGTGGCCACATTTCAAAGTACATGGTCAGAAAGACAGCGGTGTTCTTCAACAATGTGTACCAAGTAAGGACAATACTGGACACAAAGCACTAGAACAGGCTCTTAAGAGCACTGTCAGGACCCACCTCAAAATAACTCAAGCAGGACTGGTTCCCTGCCTTCTGGGACAGATACCTGCCCAGGATAGAGGCTGATGTTGCTATCACTTTAATACCCAAAGATTTTGCCATTAGTCTACCATATGCCAGTACTCATTATTCCTCAGTGTAAGAGAAATGGAGCTGTTATCATGGAACTGTGATGATTATTCCATGAAAGTTAACAGATATTCCTTCTAAACAAACATTTCACATGCAACATTTTTGCTGATAGTATGCTTTTAAGCATACGACACACAAAAAACAAAACGTGAGAAGTTGCTAACACAGAATAGTCAACTCAGTGCCTACAGTCAGGGCCCTTGAGGCTATGGTTTGCCTTTAAATAACGGGGCTCACCCACCTATCAACTTAAACTAGACAATCAACGATGAGTTCCTCTCCTTCCCCATTCAAGACCATGTAAGGCTGTAGCTTGGACCACATATCAGTCTCGTCTCCATCTGGTGAGCAACCAGCCACTCACACCAGAGCACTCCAGCATCGCAGTGGTCCTCCTGTCTCCAGTCTTATTTCCTCCATCCCACTTGATTTGCAGTAGCAACTCTGACCATCTAAATCTACCTGCATCATGTTTGAAGTCCCAAGTGCCTTTCTCAATGCCATGAGAGGCCCCCTTCAGCTCTCCTTCAGCCACACCCAGCCCCAATCCTATTTCTACCCAAGCATTCCTTCAGGCAAGCTTCATTTTTTGCGGAACTCAGTACTTCCTTCTTCACTACACCGTAAAGGTAAGATCTGAATGAGGAATCATTATCCAAGAAAACCAAGGAATACTCCCCATGGTTCCATAGCAGCTCCACCCACCTGAATTCAAGAAACACGCTCCCACTACAGCTGTCTTATCAAGAATATGCTATACTGTGACAGTATTTTAAGTTGAATAATGCGCCAAATTCATTTCACCAAGGGTACTAGACACCTGGCACCAAGCTTCAGAATCTTCCACATTGGCTCCTGACCTTTCCGTGGATAACAGACCCCACACACATTTTTGTGTCAACACTATCAGCTCTGCTAGATTCCAGCATTCCTGGTGTCCAAGGTTTGGATAATCTCAGAAGACTGCTCTAAATGGCACCTGGATTCCACCATTCAGGAATTAAGAATCCTCTTCCTGCAACACCCAATGTCACTGAAACTCCTGCACCATCTACCTGTCAGGTGGATGCTAGGCGTAGGACTGCCTTGACCTAGGTGGCCTCCAAACCTTCTGGGCAAGTGGAGGCTCTGCCCTCACCATCCCACCTGTGATAACTCTACCACCACCTCCTTTCTCCCCCAGGAGGCCATTCAACTCCAGAACATGACTAAGACTGTCTCTACCAAAGGTAATCAGGATCCAATGGACATGTCTACATTGCCGAAGCTGAGATCCTTGCTTTCAACAAACTCAAATGCGTAAAGGTTTTGTCTTCAACTCTGGTCCTGGGCCCTAAGCTTCTGTGCTCCAAGCTCGTCCTCTACCACTTGAGCCCAGCTCACTTCTGCCTTCTCTGATAGTGCACTGGAGATGAGAGTCTCTCAGACTTTCCTGCCCCAATGTCTCAGATGTCAGCCCTTGAGCAGAGAGGGTTAAAGGCGGGGCCAGCCTGAGGCTTCTGCCAGGGCCTGCCCTCCCGGAAGGGGAAGCGGAAGTGGGGGGGGGCGCGGGCTCTTCCAGTCCTGTCTATAAAGGAGAGCTGCACAGCCCAGGCTTCATTTCCTGGTCCAGGCTGCTGAGGGGGAAGGATGCCAGGACCACGACTCCTATGGCAACTGTGGTCAAGAGTGCGGTGGTGGTGGTGGTACTCTCATCTCCATGTCCCGACCGAGACACGATTTCTCAACTCCTTCCGGAGATGGATGGAGGGGAGTCACCCACAGACAAAAGTGGGGAGACTGGCGAGTCAGAGGAGACAATCGCTGCTCCCAGAGACCCAGGGGCTGTGGACACCGAAGGAGCACCTGAAGAAACGGAGGGCGACAGAGACGCGGACCCGAAAGTGGCCGCAGCAGAGGAAGGCGAGAGTCGGGATGCCTCAGATTTGACAGCAACTGAAAGGGAAGACACATCACTACCTACTCCTGCTGCCAAAAAGCTGAAGATAGATACCAGAGAAAAGAAAGAGAGGAAGAAAAAAGTGGATGAAGAGGAGATTCAAAAGATGCAAATCCTAGTTTCTTCATTTTCTGAGGAGCAGCTGAGCCGCTATGAAATCAGTGCACTGAGTCACAGAGATACTACGAACTCAAAGAGATGGATGTCCTTGAGTTTGGGTTCAGTAGCAGAGAGTATGTCTTGCTCCATGAGTCATCCGATACTTCTGAACTAGACAGGAAAGCGGATGAGGAGAAAGAGGAAGCAGTGTCCAGCACCTAGCAAACTAATATCCCATTTTCTTCTTGAAAGACTTGGGATTGACTTCAAAGGGTACCCCAGGACTCATTATACACCTCTTATTGCCATGTCTTTCCTCTGTTGACTACCTTTTGGTAATGCTTAGGTTTTGTTGATTTGTTCGGTGGCATCCAATTTGCCAGTGGTCTTTTGTTTTTAGAACATTCCTGCTGATTTCAGTACATCAGAACTATTGTGGCTTCAGTTGGTACCTGGAGAACTGCTGCTTACAGGGAGATAAAAGCTGGGTGAGAGAAGGGGTGACATTTTCCAAAAAGAAATGTACTCTTTACTTATGTAACTGTAACCATTCTATACATCACCTTTACAAAATTAAACTAAAAACAAATAAAACGCATAGAAACGAAATCCTGGTTTGAGGGAAAATTGTTGCTTCTATTTTTTACAGGTTTTATAGTTAAGTTTTGTGGTTATCAGCAAAACAGTTTCCAATATATACCAAAACTTTAGACCTGGTTGAGCTCTTGAATCATAAAATTTTGCACTTTTTGAGATTGGTGCCATCTTGGCATCTTGGTGTGAAAACTCTTAGAGGTAAAACTCCACCCCCAGTAATAGGCTCATCTGAATTCCTAGAGGCAGGGGCAGGAACTTGGACAATAAGTTACCAAACCTGCTAGCTCTGTACCAGGAACTTGAGAATTCTCAAGCTCCTCCCAGGTGAACCTGTCACCTGACCATGACCCTATTTACACCCTGACCAACTCAGCTTGCCATTGAGTCATGCCTTGTTTCCTTACTGTGCTCAGGTCACCATGGTGTCCTTTTTCAACTCTCCATTAGAATTGATCTAGTTTGTTGAGATTGTTTTTCTGCTCTTCTGCTCTTTACAACCCTCTTGGCTCAGTTTCCTAGCAGTATTAAGTGCATTCAAGGCTGCAAGGTTTTGGGGGACATATATCTGCTTGCATTCACCAGCTTTCTAATAAACTTCCAACTGGACCTCTCAAAATGGGCTTCTATCTTGTGATTGAATTCCTGTATAACACTCTTGTTGTGCCCCGATAGGAGGGTACCTAAAGACAGGTGCCCCAAGAATGGAAAAGCTTTTATGGCAAATCCTGTCAACTATCTGAAAAAAAAATCAACTGTTTTACAAGTCTTCCCCCTTCAAAGGTGCTCAAACATTGGGGGCTGGGGTTGGTTTACAGGAAAGGCACACCCAGCCTATTCTGCTAGCAAGGAGTAAAATATGCCCTCAATTTAGTGTGTTCCAGTCTTCAATGAAACTAACTAGAAATTGCAGGCTAAGAGAAGGTCTTGCGAACTGAACTTCTCAGTGTTTACTAGCTTCCAGGGGGTTTTAATTTCACTTGATAGGAGCATCACAACTTGTGTAGAAAGAATGATTTAGGTCCAACAGCCAACATTGTACTGGGCCACCTTTAGTCCTTGTGACAGCTATATTGGCTTTTTGTCTTAACACTTTGTGACTAGGGAAGATTTTTAAATGCATAGTAGGCTTAGCAGATCTTTAGCCTCCATCAGTCTTAAAAGGCTGGAAATTAAGGTGTAAATTTGCCTGCCTCCCTGAAGACATCTGAATCTTGCACAAGGTTTCTGGTTCAAGTCTTGACTCCACGTTCTTTTAAGAGTCTTAACAGCTTTGTGAGATCTATAAGCCCATCTAGGGGATCAGCTCACTCTACTTACTTCTCAGGAGGAAAAAAGCATTCAGCTACTTGGCCTCCCTCTCCATGGAAACACTGCCAATCTCTATGTGCTCTGTGCTTTGGAGCTAGAGTTCTGTCCTCCAAAGTCTGCATCTCTGAATATAAAAGCAAAAGAGGAAAAAAACTTTTGAAGCAGCCCTAGTGACTATGGAGCCTGAGGCCAGGTGTTCTATGGAGAGAGGTGCTGGCAGAGGCCAAGGGATTCTTAGATGCTCCAGGATCCTTTCTTTACAACCTCAGAAATCTCTTCCTCAGGAATAAGGAATGGATCTAGTTCTACAAAACAGACGTAAGCCTAAACACATGAGGTATGGAGTAGAGGCTCTCCAAGCATCAGGGCTAGGCAAGGGAGCCAACGGATAATCAGAACAATGAGCAAAGACCACAGATCCATACAAGCAGACTGTGGAGGCAGAGCTCCCATATACTGGAGACTCTATCATCAGTAATGGACTCTAACATGACTATTAGACCAGAGCCTGCTGCAACACAGGATGCAGTGAGACCCAAGAGTCAAGACTCCACACCATGGACAGATACAGGGCAGATACCAATGTGTCCATGGCTGAGCAGATCACACCAGCCACACAACAGTAGGCCAGCAAGAGCAGCATGTCTTTGGCTTAAATTGTGGAAGGGAAGATGAAACAAGCTTTTCAATTGGAGAGCTTCTTAGACCATCCTTGAGTTTGGTCAGGAAAACACCTTCTGGCTTCCACCACTCACTGGAAGGGAATTGCCCTTTTAGGATACACCTAAGGCTTGTAAATTCTGACCACTACTGGGTTAAGGACAGCAGCTTGGACTATGAAGGTGGAAGACCGAAGTTCAAATCCTGTTGTACCTAATAGCTCTTGGACTAACCGAAGCTGCTAAAATGAGGACCACGAACACACAGCCAATTCCTAACCATAAAAGTACTCAAATGGTCTGAGGGCCAAAGACTAACCTCCTCTGGGGTGAAGCCTAAATATCAGCAGAGAAGGACAAAAGCAGGACTCTAGTACCTGGCTTTGGGCCATTACCATTGCAGAGCCTCACACAGGAGGAGAAGACAGGAAAAGCTGTTGCAACCTCCCACTCATGGGATCCCAACATGTAAAAGGACTAGAGACAGGAATAACAAACACCCCTAGAGTGACAGAAGAGGTTTTGACTGATGCAGTCTAGAACACAGGCTTAGGTCTCAAAGTCTATCAAATAAGGTTTGTCAGCTCCAATCAGTTTGCTCTCCACTAAGTTTACACTGTTCATCTTCAGATGATACTTAGCTGCCTAAGAAGTGACAACTAAAAGATAAGTAACTTCAATAGGCTGTGCTTCAACTGTGTGACAGACTTGTATTGCCAGCAGTATGTTCTTAGATGTTTACTACAGTAAAGGCACTCACACTGAAAAGCAGCTTATGTGGGAGGCTCCTTAGCCCTCAGAGAATTAGAAGGTGGTACAGCACCCTTTGCCGGTGTTAGAGATTCACCTGTTTTCCTAAGCCAGTTCCCCAATGGGCTGCTCAACTGAAAAGATTGTTTACAGAGAAGCCCCAGGAGGGATTCAGTAACCACTTCTGTCAGGCCTACAGAACATTTCAAAAAATAGATGGAGAACACGTTAAAACACAGACAGTTTCTCTTCTGCAGAATCTAGACTCTGAGAGGACATGAACATAAATGGACTCAGGGTCACTAGCAGGAGATAAGAGAAAATACAAGGTGAAGGGCAAGAACATGATGTGCATTAAATGGAAAAAAGGTCATAAACTGACTCAGGTTAGTAGTGGGGATTAGAAATATAATCCAGGTTTTTTAGATGTTAAAGGTATGTATAGAAAGTACTGCAGTGAAATCCCTCCCTTTGGATACTATACACTTATTTTTCCAAAAAGTCACCTTATTCTTGCCTCCAAAGAATTTAGAATTCAGAGGCTAACACTTCTTGGTAGGTTTATATAGGTAAGATTTTCTAACCAATCCTTCAATGTAGACATGCAGGAAGCTAAATAAGAGAACCCAGTTCTTCCGGAGGGTATTTTAAAATACCAGGCCCCAGATTCACAGGTGAGTACCTTAAAACTAATTTTGCCCCAGGTGAGTAACTCCATACCCTACGCTTTGTCCCAGCTTAAATTAATTCTCCGTCCAATTTGGGCTAAAGTGAGAACTACTAAGCAGATCTTCAAAACAAAAACCCTTGCATGGATGTGAAATCAAACAGAACAAAATTTAAAATGGGGTCAAATATTAAAAACCCAAACCCCTCTGTAGAAAACGCCAGGTCAAATGACCAGTTGCCAGCCTAAGCCTTTTCCATCCTGTCAAAGAGCAAAAAAACATCTCTCCCTTACCCAAGTTTACCACAAACTTTGCTCAAGGCCACTGACAATCTTGAGGCTTACCACTAGCTATATTGAGTTGCTTATAAAAATCATTTCTGTAAAATAGACTATCCCTATCTAAGCTTATATTTTGACTTTTGTAATCATGCATTAATAGTATCAGTCATGCTGATCCGCCCATGGCTATGTTGTGCTTCCGTATGTCTGCTTACTTGCCTTGATAACCCCCACCCAGGCTAGTTTTTCCTTTAAAGACCCTTATGGGCAAAGACCTCACTGCATCCCACTATCCAAATAGTGGGGTGTAGTCACTGTGTGGCTAATAAAGACTTCTTGCCCTGTTTGAGTGTTGGCATGTCTCTGGGAAATCAATACTACAGACACTTCCCACCACAGAACAGACATCCTCTACAAGAGACAGAGGCTGTGGAGAGGCCGCCCAGACCATCTACAGATGGAGTCCCTGAATGATTTACACCTGACCTCATTTACAAGGAATAAGGGTGGACTGTGAAGGAGAGGGGTACTGAACTTCTGACAGCTGTGAGAAGACAAAGACAAGTTTCCCCACTACCCTGGCATTCCTTCTAGAAGAAACAGTCAACACAGCAAGCCTGGAGCTCCCAAGGAACAGCACCTGTACCTTGCTCCCTATTGCTCTTGCTAGAACCTGGCATAGGGTCCTACATGGGGGAGGGCTCAGTAGAGAGGAAAGGAAAAACTAATTTCAGAAAAACAGGAAAGGAAAAACTAATTTCAGAAAAACTAAGTTCAGAATCATCCATTTCTCCTTTCTGTTCCTCCCTAAAGCCTCCAAGACCACAGATCTATCACACAACTCATCTATTCTGTTGGCAAAGATGAAAAACAGGGTCAGGACAAGTTAGGTTGCTGCAGAGCCATACACAT